TTTTTATTTTCCGTCGGTCTTAGTACACGATGTAACTACAGAAGAGTCAAGTTTTAAATAGGAAAAATATAGAAACTCTTTGGTCATTTTTGAGCGAGATGCTAATAGTCTAATCAGATTCAATGATCTATGCTAAGCTTTTTTTTTTTTTGACGTCACATCATACTTCATCTTCTCATCAAATCTTCTGACCAATCAAACGCTCTTTAGAAGCCGAAGCGCCGCCCCCTACACTATAAATAGACGCTGAAGCTGCAGCCGAGATCGGTCTTGTTCGCAGTGTAGTATTTCCTGTACAGTGAATGGCACTGTAGTGCACAATGTAGGCGACAGGGAACGATTCAGATAGTGTAAATATGCTTTCGATTGGGGCAAATGAGGTCTGGTTTCACATTGTGTCAAGCGAACCACAGCAGCGCTCAGTCTGACTTTGGCTCCGGTCCAGAGACGCGATCGCACGGAGCGGATCATATGCGCAAGTCGGCATATATTAAACACTTTTAAAACTACACAGCCTCAACATGATTATGATCACTATTTTGTTTACTAAGAGTTTCATATTGAATCTAGGGGATAATCTATTAGACTGTGGCTGTCAAATGCGGCTTTACCGAGCTCAACGGCTCTGCGAGTGACTCGTGCAGATATAAACAAAACGCTATTGGCTAATTTAAAAAGGGGGCGGGGCTGCTCGATATGTCCCGCCCTGTCTTCCTGTTTCAGGTGAAATTACGTCACCACATAGAACAACGCTGCGTGTTTCAAGCGGTTTCAAAGCACTTCAGGGGACCTTTAACAATACACATGTAGTCGACAGATGGCAGCACGACCGTCCTTGGATACTTTGTTGCGCAGGCCACAGGTTCGAGTCCATCCCGCAGCGTGTGACTTGTTTCACATGTAACTAAAATTCCGCCATAACGCACAGCAATGTAGCTCGAATATTGTTGCAGGGGAAATTTGTCGGCGTATTCCCGTTTTCTGCGTCTTTTTCGCTTGCGTGCGGGGGCGTAAAGATTAGGCCCTTTCCTGCTAGCAGCCAGCATCTGAGCTAATTCCCCATCTTGCTAACCCCCATGAATATCTCCATTTATGTATATAATTATGATGGTACTAGCTAGTTGTATTTCTTTTATATTAACATTTAGTCATTTAGCAGATGCTTTTATCCAAAGATACTTACAAATGAGGACAATGGAAGCAATCAAAATCAACAAAAGCGCAATATGCAAGTGCTATGACAAGTCTCAGTTTAACGCAATAAGTTAACAGCAAGTTTTTTTTTTCATACGCAGATTTCCTCTTATTTGTTTTATTATTACCATGTATTAATGCATCCGACATTTTTCACTTTGTTAGCGTAACGTTATCTGTAGGCTAATGTTGAACATTCGGTTACATTATTTTCGCTTTTCAGTTTTGTTATTATGAAACGATAATGTGTCGATTACTAGCGTAAATTACGGGTTTTTGCTTTCTAATCAAATCGGAGAAAAATGATATAACGTTATAGTCTAGAAATGACACGTTGTCAAATTAACGTCAAAAACCAACGGTATTTCCTGGTCTTATTTTACAGAAATCTACATGTGAGTAAGTTACTTGTTACATTTTTTATGTGCAATATAAGTGTATTTATTATACTTACTATAATACCCTGTAAAAACCTCAAGATCGAGATGCTGAACGTGGGTTCCTTCGATAGCTCAGTTGGTAGAGCGGAGGACTGTAGAGGAAACACTGGAATCCTTAGGTCGCTGGTTCGAATCCGGCTCGAAGGAAATTTAGTTTTTGTTTCTTTTCGTTGTTTAAAATTGATACGAACATTCAGTAGAGTTCAAGCATAAAATGTTCCTTCAATTGCAAACAAAAAGTCTGAAAACAGCCCAAAATGGCTGGCTCTGTGCACATTATGTTGCATTAAGATTTTGTGAAACAAGCAATATCCTATTTATATTCATATAGAGTACTGTGCCAGAGCAAATAAAATGTGTTATTTAAATGATTTCGATATCTACAGTTAAATACACAACATAAGATTGGCCCCTCTGTATTAATTGTGGCCCCTTTTGTGCCCCCCAGTTGAAAAAAATCTTACAATCACCCCTGGTTATTTGAAAGCACTGTTAAATGTACAGAAATATCTGCATTTATATTTTGCATAAAACAAAATATAAATGCATAAAACAACTGCATATAATATGCACTCCAAAAATTGGCCTAAATTTAGAATTTATGAATTTGATTTGCATATGACATGTCACACGACACACTTTTAACATAGACAAACTAATAAACCTATTGTGTTACATACTTGTCAGTCATACATAAATGGAACAAGTAAGATTTCTGTAACAGTACTAATAAATGTTAATACTAGTAGACTTTTAACTCTTTAGACTGTTTTAAATACTAATAGACAGATGTACATATTTATAATCAATAAATCAAATTTCTTCCCATCTCCCATTGCAGGTAATTGAATATTCCACAGCTATATTTTAACCATGTTCTTACTTTTTAACTGAATAAATGTAATTGTTTTCACAATGAATAACTGGATAAATGACTGACAAATATGTGTCACATTACGTTTATTAGTTTATGTTAAAAATGTCCAAATGGATGAAAATTTTATATGGAAAATTTAAATACAAAAATCTTAAATTTAGGCCCTGATATTTTTTAAGTGTACATGATATTATTTAAAGGAGAATCATTCATCAGTTTTTTATCACATTATCAGTTTTAATTCCACATGAAGCATAAGAATAATATAATATCTGTTATTTACAGACAGCATGGCTAAACAAAGCTTAAGAAGTTGAGTATTTTTAGCTTTCTCAGTCCTAACATAAACAGTATATTGTAAAAGACACCAATATATTCAAAAAGAATTTTAAAATTAATATCTATCGTCACTTTTTTCCATTTAGGTATATGTTCTGTGTCCATCACCGATCAGCTGGGTCTTCTCACTAGCATTGGTTGGCTGCATCACAATCGGAGTGTCGCCATCTGGAAAACCAAAATCACAGGTAAAAGAGGTCACATATGTTCAATATGGAATATACAAGAGGTTACATCGTCTAATGCCATGCCATTTCACACTCCTAATTGAACTTCCTGCTGAAATGAAAAGTGTTTTGTACGCTCCAAGGACGTCCCAGCAATCTGCCGTTAGCCTGCCCCTGCCTGCTGGCTGCGCTTTTCTGATCTCATTGAGCTGGCTCAGTATCACTGGTTTGAAGGGCAGCCCACTGTCCACTGGCTTACCTAATGCTGAGAGTTTTCTGATTCGAAGACCACAGGGGTGGATTTTTAGAGACTACTTCAGCAGGATATGAAGTCTAGGAAACATTATTGTAGGTAACATTAATATGAATGCTATGAAACAGACAAAAATATGTTTTCAGGTAGCCTAAAAAGTCAGCTGCCAAAATATTATAATAGAATAGTTTTTACATGGTACACTAATATATATTATTTAAAGGGATAGTTCACCCAAAAATGAAAATTCTGTCAACCTGTAAGACCTTTGTTCATCTTCAAAACACAAATTAAGATATTTTTGATGAAATCCGAGAGCTTTCTGACCCTACATAGACAGCAATGCAACTGGAATGTTTGTCATTTTTGTTTTCTTTGCACACAAAAAGTATTCTCGCAGCTTCGTAAAGTTACGGTTGAACCACTGATGTCACATGGACTATTTTATGTTTCTGTGCCTTGAACATTCCAGTTGCATTGCTGTCTATGCAGAGTCAGAAAGCTCTCGGATTTCATCAAAAATATCTTAATTAGTGTTCCGAAGATGAACGGTCTTACGGATTTGGAACAACATGAGGGTGAGTAATTAATGACAGAATTTTCATTTTTGGGTGAACTATCCCTTTAACGTGTAGGTAACACTAAAAGAGTAATTAGAGGAGTCTATGAAACTCTTCTGTGTGTTACACTAATATAAATGTTATCAAACAGACAACAAAATACACAGTAAAAATATATATTCAGGTAACCAAAAAAAAAAAAAAAAAAATCTTAATTAGTTGCGAAAGTATTATTGAATATGACTAATAAAATTATTTTTACACGGTAGAGTAATATATAATTAATATTATTTAATGTGTAATGTGGTGCTAGACTAATATAAATGCTTTGAAAGACAATAAAATACACTGTTAAAAAAGTATAACCTAAATTAGCTCAAATATTATTTAATATGAATAATAAAATTATTTGTATATGGTAGACTAATATATAATATAAATAATATTGTTTAATGTGTAGGGCATGACTTGGGTATCAGTCTATAAAATATATATATTGCATTTTTTTCTCGTGCTACACAAATATAAATGCTATAAAACAGGTGCCTGCTACTTCATTAGTATAAAAAAGCGGGATCTTGTGTGCTGTGTGTTCTCAGCTTGTCTAGGTGAATACAAGTCAACTAAAATGGAAGCACAAGTCAACTTTGATTTGTCCACAGTGTATTTTTACATAGACGTAGCTTGAATCTAATATAAGACAAAACAAGGCTTTTTTTTTTGTCTGTACCATCTTGCGTGCTGCCTTTCAAATGCAGGGAAAGAAAACATTGTTTATTTTTATTGTGAGAATGCTATAAAAAACTAGTATGCAAACACACTTTGAGAAATGACTCAGACTGTAATTATCACTTTTGTGAGGGACTGCAGCACAAGATGTAAAAAACCTCCTACAGCTCACTGGCAGAACAACAGCGTATTATATCCAAACATCTGGCTCAGAAGTATCAACTATTTATTTTTGTAAGTAGGATGAGTTATTACGTTAGTTGAACCTTCTTAAAAGCGCTTCCCTCAACTGATAAGCCATGATCTGCTACATCAAAGCTTGCTGTTCTTTTTAAGCAATTAATACATGTTTTTAATTAGAAAGTTATCATATAAAGCTATTTCGAAATTAATTTTAGAATGATTCAGTTGCACAATATGTAATATTTCAGTCTTTATAAAGTCTTTCCTCTTTCTATAGAACAATATATTTTGAAGATTAACATTTAAGACATTTAGAAGATGCTGTTATCAAGAACAAAATGTGATGCAGTCATTTTGGGATGTGCTTCTTTTAACCATTTTCATCCATTTTTTTTCTGGCTGTAGAGTGACTGAGGTGTGTTCTGTGCTCTTATGCTATTTCAAAACTGAGTGTGACCACCTAAAGAACACGTCAGCATGTTCTTTTACCTCTCTCGTTGTCCGTACGGATCTGCTCCTCCAGGTCTTCGGGAGACACATAGAACGCCGGGTCCTCTTCTCCAGGTGTGTGCGGTTTGCACTTCCCACAACAGCAGTTGAAACAGCAGCACAGACAACAACAGAAATAGCAACCTGTCAGCAAGCCACAGATGGCAAACAGACCCTATAAATGAGAATGTTCAAAATCAGACAGGCACACAGTGTCAGGGTTTAGTTTAGATAAAAATGCATTCAAAATATCGACATTACAGCATCTGTTATATAATATTACTTTAGAAAATTAAATAATTTACTTAGATATATTAAGTCAATACATAATAATATAACATGTATTTTATTATAATAGCAAAAACAGTATTAGCAAAAGAAATTGCTAACACAAATACTATAATGTAAATATAAAATATAACTATTTAGTGAGTAGATGCATTTATATAAATTAGGATAACACTTTATTGACTTGTTCATTTTGCAATAATATTCTATGATTTATCTTTCAGAGTTAATATTACAATATTCTGTCTCATTCTGTCTTTTTATACACCTTTACGGATAACACTACAATTGGGTTCCATTAGTCCTCCTGATAATGAGTAATAGTGTTTAATATTCTTTGTTAACATGACATTGTAATTGTTCACTGTTAGTTAGCTAAGGTCGATTAAAATTTATGAACAGATACAACTTTTTAAATTAACAATGTATAAGTAAATGTTGAATTGTTTTTAACAAAGATTAATAAAGGCTTTAGAAGTATTTTTGTTAGTCCATGTAGCTAATGTAAACACATTTTTGTTATAAAATAATATTTAAATATTTAAACAGTTTCAAATACATACAAAATCAAGTACATGGAAAAAAAAAAATCACATAATTAGCTGCAAAAATATTATTTAATATGACCAATAAAATTATTTTTTAAATTGTAGACTAATATATAATGTAATTAATATTATTTAAAGGGTTAGTTCACCCAAAAATGAAAATTCTGTCATTAATTACTCACCCTCGTGTTGTTCCAAACCTGTAAGATCTCTGTTCATCTTCGGAACACAAATGAAGATATTTTTGATTAATTTAAGAGCTCTCTGACCCTCCCATAGACAGCAATGATATTACCATGATCAAGGTCCAGAAATGTAGCAAGGATATCATTAAAATAATCCATGTGACATCAGTGGTTCAACCGTAATTTTACGAAGCTACAAGAATGTACGCAAAGAAAACAAAAATAACGACTTTATTCAACAATTCGTCTCCAGCCATTGTGGAGAATATCCACTGAACGTAAACAGCGTATGCTATTCTGTGTCAGCTGCGTCATGCGGATACATTTTCTACGTTGTTTACACTTTGATTTGAATGAAAACCACGTATCCGCGTACAGTGCTGCTGACACAGAACAGCATACGCTGTTTACGTTCAGTGGATACGCTCCAAAATGGCTCTATAGGGTGACGCGGAGGAGACGAATTGTTGAATAAAGTCATTATTTTTGTTTTCTTTGCGTACAAAAAGTATTCTCATAACTTTGTAAAATTACGGTTGAACCCCTGATGTCACATGGATTATTTTACCGATCTCCTTACTATGTTGCTGGACCTCGATCGTGGTAATTACATTGCTGTCTATGGGAAGGTCAGAGAGCTCTCAGAATTAATCAAAAAGATCTTAATTTGTGTTCCAAAGATGAACAGAGATCTCACGGGTTTGGAACGACATGAGGGCGAGTAATTAATGACAGAATTTTCATTTTTGGGTGAACTAACCCTTTAATGTGTAGATTACATCAACAGGAGTAGATTTCAAGGGTCAGGTCAGGCAAATATTGTTCCCTAAAGTGCTAATTTTTAATATAAACAAAAAAAGGATTATACCGCACCTTTGCCCACCAGCTGGAGAGCATAAAGTATGTGTTCACATTCTCCTCCCCAAACTGCTGCGACACATACAGACCCAGGGAGCCGTACTTGTCATAAATGTTCCTTTTAGTGACGTCAGACAGCACCGCATGAGCATTGTTGAGCTCTTTAAATTTGTCAGTGGCATCGGGGTTCTCTGGGTTCTTGTCAGGATGATATTTCAAAGCGAGCTTCCTAAAAAAACAACAACAAAAAAACGGCCAGGACATTTAAAAATGAAAAATGTCTTCAACTGACTGCTAAGAGCTGCACCAACCTGAGGATCATATAGAAGTCTTAGGAATGAAAATGTAAAGAAGTTGTTGAAAGACACTAAGATCAATGTAAGTGTCAGGAAGTATATTTAAATGACCTTAGAAATACAGAATCTCGACGAGAATGTGCACTTTGACTTTTTTCTTTGTATTCCCCTAATGAGAGTGACATAAAACAACCATTAGCTTAAAAAAGGAAACACAAATACTTCTGGACTCGCGCACAGTAAGAGGAGACTCATTAACATGTGGCAGTTTAAAATGCTGTCTGTCTGTTTGATGATCTCAGCAGGGTGTGATCTTTTGCGGCTAGCTGTCTTATGCGCACGCTGCTTGACCTGTCTATGTGTCAGCAAGACCGCAGACCCCATTAGTGCCTCCAAAAGCTCCTCGGCACATGAGGGGTGGTGAAGAGAGGAACGTCACCAAGTCTGACATTTTTCCCATTAGAACCAGCAGTGCATTGCACATGTCTCTGTCTCAGTTCAGGTCTGCTCTGAATGAATGGCAGCATGTCCAAACTCTGCGCAAACACTCTTCAAAAGTCTCTGCAGCAATAAGGAAGAGTTTGACATGTTATAATGCTGTGAAATGTAATATCCTTAAGCTCAAAATGGTTGTGGATGATCAGATAGCAAACTATAAATATTTATGGTATTTGTAAAAGGCGTGGAGTAGTATAAATCTATTAATAAAAAAAAAAGCCAAGAATTTTAATCTTAAAATCATTACATGAAAATAATCTCAATTTTTTTTTTTTTTTTGCTGAACCAGAAACAAACTATTTAATCTATAATTTATTATGCTCAGAGCACGCTTGCTTGTTAATTTTTTATTAAGCCTATGGCGTCTGCAAGAGTTGTGATGATTATATATTAATTAACAGCAAACAAGTGCTGTTAAAATGCTAACCATTTAAATGCCTCCTTGAACAACGTGTAAATTAGAACAATTAGACACTATAATTGTTGGAACATCAGTATGGTGTTAGAAATGAAGTTGTCTAATGAAGCTCTCTGACATCTTTGTGTTTTAGCATACAAGACAGAAACAGCACAGGTTGTGCATAAATTGCAGCCTTGAAAAACTGTATAATATATATAATATATATATATATATATATAAATATATATATATATAAAGCAGCCACAGAAAAGAAAAACTATTTACTGTCTTACATATACATTCTCCTATATGTATGACAAAGAATGATGCTGTGAATTTTTTCTCCAGGCTTTCCCAGGTTGCCCTGCTCTGCTGCAGCATAACATTTTGTTAAACCAACTGACAAGTGAAACCAACACGTTATGGTGTAAGCGTCAAGATATTACCACCAAAGGCAAGGTTGGCACGTTTCCATGGAGCTATGTAAATTATAGTACAGAATCATTCATGCACACATCGTGCACCCCTGAACATGCTCTTGTATCTAAGATTCCTTCATCATTCCTGATCCCAGTAAAATAAGGGATGCCATCTGTTCAGCATAATGAATATTTTAGTTTTGTGGAAGTCATATTATATTCATGCAGCTCCACTGCAACTGAAGGCTGAGATTATAGAGGAATGAGTCGCAGTTTGGCACTTTCTCTATCCTTTGCTCCCTTGTTCACCCCAAGTAGAATCCAAACTTCATACAGTAAATGCACCTTGGGACAAATAGGTTGTGAATCACATCTTACCTGTAGGACCTCTTGATGTCATCATGAGTGCAGTTCTTGTCAAGGCCAAGAACCTGGTACAGGGCCTCTCCTGATGTGGACAGGGCCCGTTGCCTTTGTTCAGCCATGATCTTAAACCATTACCTTAACATCAAAAGAACAAAGAAACCGTTAATAAATTGGAGAAGACAGTAGGTCAGGTACAGTTGTCCTGGGTGGTGAACAAGATACAACCTATAGCTAGCAGTTTTTGGTTCCCAGAATGTTTATGGAATGCTATAATGGTTTAAAAATTTAGGTTGTCTAGGTTGTAATCTAGGTTGTCACAAAAACAAAAAACTCCCTGCAACATTCGGGGAAGGTTAGCTCTTGGTTATAAAAATAAGACCTAAAAATAACCATTAGGGAACATTCTGAGTTGGTTCACTTTAGGCTGTCATGAAAACATCCCTGCAACATTCTGGGAAGGTTAGCTTTTGGTTATAAATCTAAATCCTAAAAATAACCATTAGTGAATGTTCGGTGTATAGGTTCCCTTGGGGTTGTCACAAACGGTGTAAAAAAAAAACTCCCTACAATGTTCTGGGAAGGTTAGCTTTTGATTTTGATTTTTTGACAAAACATTCCTAGAACATTCTTTTTTTGTTCCCAAAAGGCAAACAAATGGGGAACGTTCTGTGTTTGCAGGGAAATGACGTTTGGCTTGAGACTTACGACATCACTCTTTCCACATCAACCCAGACCTGGTTGACTGTTTGTTTACATATGTTCACAAGCAATCTCTCGGTTTATAAGAAAAGACATCCATTGGAAGTATATTGCAAAGAATATATATACACAAACAAGAGTTTGACATGGATTCTCTAATAACCTCCAACCCCTGAATAATTCCATCTTTTGCAATGAGCCTTCATAGAATATTAACTAGTTCTAATTATACATATCTAATTATATCTCTGTTGAGCTTTACAATGGCTGACTGCAGAAGTAAGAAGCAAAAAAACTGCAATCACTAGTGCAATACTGCTCCAAATCCCACAGAAGATCATTAGTTTTCTTACCTGTTAACAGACTCCAAATGTAAGTCCTTCTCCAGGGCAGTTAGATAGGCTTATGGAGTCAGATTCCTTCTCTGAAGGTGAGTAGATTAGGTGAGATGAATTATACATGGAACTAGTCATGAGCTCAGGTAACTTCAGGCCAGTTTAACATGGTTACCAACAAGGTTCATTAGGTTTCAGTGTCTGGTGCTTGAGCAGAGAGTGGAAGCTTTTGATGGAAGATGTTTGATGGATGAAGGATGCTATCTGCTAAAACCTGCACGATGAGGACTGGAGAGGATAAAAGGTTAGGTTTTATGCCTATACAACTTTTTAGCTAGAGTCTTACGTTGTGTGCGTGCATGAATGCCCTCGATTTGATGCATTTTCTTGCTGATGCAAGATCGCCATCTGGTGGTGTCCTTTTGCAATTGCTGTTTTCAATACCATTGCGTGACAAACGTAGTGACGTCTAAATGCATATTCAACAAAACTACATTGCTTGTTCAAAAACGGCAAAAAAAAAATAAAAAAATTACATACATAAAAAAGTCCTAGAATTAGTCGGGTCTAAAATAATAAAAATGAATGTCCAAAACGAACAGCGTGACCTCCACATTAACTCACGTCAGAGAATGTGCGCATGTTGTCAGCAATATATTTCAGTATGCTAATATGAGCAATGTTATTCGTTTTGCTACTGTATATCGAAGTAAACTAAAAACCGATTTATTTTTCAAGATATTTGTGAACAAACTGAAGTGTTTGTGAACTAAAAAAAAAACAAATGAATGTTTATGCTTTATTACATTTTAAATAAATACAAGACAATGCATAAAGCTAGAATACTAGTACAAAATTTGTACTAAAGTTATGTTTTTAACATGAATTATTTTGTAACTCTAAAGGAGTACAATAGTAATGTAAATTGTATGATGAAAAAGTGACCAGACCAGAGATGCCGTCAAACATATTTTATTCAATTAGCTACATAACGTTATCCACACATTTTTGTTTGTTTGTTTTCTCACAAATATAGTATGTTTTAAATCATAGGTTTTCAATCTATTTGTTAGACCCCCAAATAATATCATGCTTGTGCAAGTGACCCTCATCCTACAATTTTTAAGGCAGCTATATATTTTCTTGTTTAAACACCCAATTTATACTGTAAAAACTGAATATTATGCATTTGTGTGAAATACATTTATTTTAAAGAAAATAATATTTTCTACTCACAATAGTACCTTTAGATGTAGTATTTATTAATTTAAGTCAGATGTTTATTATTTTTATTTTAATAAATATTCTTCTTCTTCTTCTTTTTTTTTTTTGTAAACTTTTCCCCAGACCCCAGTTTAAAAACCCTTGTTCTAAAGCAGGGTAAAAAAAAAAAAAAAAAAAACTAGCACTTACCTTGTATCACCACAAGATGGCAACTGAGCACAAGTTTTATTCTACAAGCAGTTAATGGGAAAAACTTGCATACTTTATGTATAGATAGTGTTTTAATCTACAACACTCTTTTCACTCACCATTTTTAAAATGTCAGTCAAGTGCAAAAAAGTCACATTTCTACATCTATTTAAATTATACATAGAAATTGTATGGAAAAAAGACAACTGTCACATTCACATATCTTTTTCTTCTTCTTTTTTTTCAAAACCACATGCAGCAGTCAAAACAACGGGGACGTCACCAGTGGGCCGGGTGACATCAAGCAGCAGTATCAATTATGCCGGCGCTCCCCTTGTTTATGGTCACCTGATGACTGTTGCATAGCACAGGGTCGCATTGCAAGTGGATACATGGAGTCTCAAGGGGAATTAGCAGGTGTGCTGCTCACCACCCCTCATCATTGTCTCCTCAGGAGGCTGTTCCTGCAAAGCACGTCTGCCTGGGGAACAGCATTTGTGGCAAACTAAGCCTCAGAAACAAACCATTAATGAAATGATTGCCCCTCAGTCAGGAAATGTGAGACTCCCAAATGAGCAGTACGCAGGGCCAATGGTAGTGGACGGGAAGCGGTCCTTGACACTGATTAAACAGTATTGTAAAAGTAAATGAATGAACAGATCCGTTAATAACTACACCGGCAGATATAGGCATGATGCCAGACATCTTATCTTGTTAAGTGTGTTGTGTTTGCTTTCTTTGTTTAGTCCCAGTGTTTAAGTCACACTAACACCAGTAATATATCACCATAGATCAACAATGCATGCAAAAAATAATCTCAAAGGTTTTGTATAATATTTCCAAGAGTTTCTGGTGTGCACTGGGGTAAAGCACTCTAGTAATCTGTGTGATTTGGCAGTGTATATTCAGGATGCCTAGAAACAGATTAGGACTGCATGGTCTGGGGTTTGGTTGTGCAGAATTGTATTGTGAGCAGTGGGGAGGGGGTGGGACGGAGCAATTATACTCACTACTGGCATGTGGCCTTTGTTGCCATGGCACAGTTCACTATTGTCCCCTGGTCTCCAGCAACTCAAGTTAAAACATTTGACAACATTGCAAAGCTTTACGACTTAAATTGAAGAATTGAAATGACCCAGAGAGTGGGTTGAACTTGCACAGAGTGGGTCGAGCTTGATTATATTGCTTAAATGTCTGCTTATGTGATTGCAAAAGAAAGGATAATGGTAAGAAAATGGCTCTACGCTTTTAAAAATAAAGGTTCCAAAAGGGGGGTTTTGCAGCAATGCCATAGATGAACCATTCTGGTTCCTCAAAGAACATTTCAGTGAACAGTTCTTAAAAGAACTCTTTTTTTCTTAATGTGAAGAACATTTATATAATAATCTGAAGAACATTTTCCACTATTTTATTTTGTGCAATAAAAAGGTTCTACACTCTTAAAAATAAAGGTTCTTTATTGGGATTGATTGATCCATGAAGAATCTTTAACATCCATGGAACATTTCCATTGTACAAAATGTTCTTTATAGTGGAAAAAAAAGTCCTTTAAATTATTCAAATGCTCTTCAAACTATAAAAATGGTTCTTTTAAGAACTGTTCATTGAAAGGTTCTTTGGTGAACTCAAAAATGGTTCTTGATGGTAAAGTTTATTTATGGAGCCATAGAGAACTAATAAATAACTTTTATTTTTAACAGTGTATGCTATTTGGCTCACACAATTACCTTGAGGATGAATTTCAGTTAGTAAACCTAAGTGTAGGCTATATTTTTTCACATTAATATTTTTGTTGAAACTGTAGCAGACCATAAGCCTTAGTTCATGAATATGACTTGCGTTTCCATGCAGATTGTACCTCAGCACACAATGTGATACTTAGAGACTGCTATTGACTATGTGTTGTCATGCAATTATCTGGTAATGCCTGACAACATGCTTATTGTTTAAACTTACAAAGTTCTCTGTGGTACACGCTTATGTCTTAAGCAAACAAACACTTGAAAGGCAAAACTGGAAGAAAGAAATGAGCTCGTGTAATATACCTACTGTGTAATATACTAAGTGTAATCACACTCACAAAAGAAAAAAAAACGTTTATTTTGAGCATTTCTCCTCTTAAACCTGGCATTTTATATTACGAACATTGTTGGCTTTTTGACAAATTGTTCCTCTTTGTAAGTCTCTTTGTATAAAAGCGCCTGCTTAAATCACATGGGTCTGTCATAGGCCCACAGGTACGATAACATCAACATTACATTTCACTGGATTATGTATACATTTGATTGCCAGGTTTCTTTACCCTGCTAAAAAAAATCTGCTTAAACCAGCGTATGAAGAGTGAAATGGTCTTTAAAAAAACAAAAAAACAACAAAAAAAACACGTTTACTAGTGGGTTTTATTACTGAGAGAAGTTAACAGTGGCTCATTGCTCACGAATAACTGGATGACTCATACCGAGAAAAGGTAATCACTGGCAGTGATGTAGACCGGCTGCAGGGCAAACCCCGTTGTAGTGGAATACCCTTATTGAGGTCCGTACAGTCAGTGAACGAGTGCATAAATCAGTCTTGAAAGCAGCGCCAATGAGATTCGCCGTTTCAAAATCGCTGTACGGTGTAATCCAATGGGAACGGGCGTTACATGAACTGCTGCGCGCCTATTGGCTCAGAGAGACGAGGACGTTTTGCGAACGCTTTCTGTAGTGTACAACCTCATCTCTTTCGCAGGTGGTGCATGTTCGGAAACAGCTTGCAATGTTCAGGACTAACTGAGACTGTCGTATGTAATAAGCGTAATTTATTTCCCGTTTTGCGTTTTCTTTTTAACACTGACCGAACAGCATGTGCCAACACACGCACAGCGTGGTCGCGGGGCGTGTTTTTATTTCACCAAGGCCACTTTCTTCTGGTGAATATACAGTGCTGCATTGAGTGTGTGCTGAATTACGGGGGCTATCTGTGTGTCTGCATTTAGAAAAAAATGAGAGAGGGAGAATAAATGTTCATGCAGCGCAGAGCTTGAATGAAACCCGTCGCTAAACGGATAGAAGTTCACGTACATTTATTTATATATTCGCCGGATATCTCTGTTTTCTCCTCCAAGCATCGACATCGGGGTTTGAAGTGGTCATGCCTTTTGTTTTAATTTGGGAGACGAGACTGCGGAGCCATTTGCACGATGATGATGATTCACGACTGGACGGAGTTTAAAAAATGAGGAAGCATTTTTTTCTAAAGATACTAAAAAGATAGAGGAGAGGCCTCGTCGTCCCACAGGCCGTGGTCTTTGCATGGGAAAAGGGAGAATAAAGAAAGAAAAAACGAGTCTGATGAATAAAAATCGAGTGAAATGGAGCACGAGACACGCGCGTGGGGAAATATGGACCATATCATTAATGACGGCGGTGTGCGCGAGAACCAGATCGATCCGAACAAAATGAAGCACTTCGCCTCATGAGTATTTAAACTGATATTTTTTATTTGCAATTTAAAGGAGAGGGGATTCCCGTGCTTGTTGAGAGTTGCAAACAGCGCCCAAGTTCAGTGCAAGTTCTCCTCTCCGCCTTCTTGTGATTCCTTTGATTATTTTACTACTTTTTTTCGGCGGGTTTGAATTATTTTTGATCCGGATCCATAGCGTTGATATTATTCAATGGAATTATGTTATCAGTTACCGGTTTTGCCTCTAGACAGGCCGGTTCCCAAACATGTTCTCAGCCGGAGGGGAGCCATTAGTTTCAGCTCCAGTTCCTCTTTATTCGGAGCCCCCGACCCGAGGCAGCTGTCACAGGTAAAGAACAAAACATTCTGGCTGTGTGTCAAAACCTAGCGAGCTGCCTACCTAGAGAATCAGACGCGCGTTCCGAACGTTGGTTCGAATCATTTCGGAGCATTCTGAACTATTCGAATGTTCGGAACGCGCGAATGTTGCTAAAACATTTTGCCTGCTGTAGAAATGGAACCGTTCTGGTTCCGATT